TCCAGGTCCATCCATGTTGCTGCAAATGGCATTATTTTATTCTTTTTTATGGCTGAGTAGTATTCCATTGTATAAATATACTACAACTTCTTTATGCAGTCATCTGTTGATGGACATTTAGGTTGTTTCCATGTCTTGGCTACTGTAAATAGTGCTGCTGTGAACATGGGGATGCAGGTGTCTTTTGAATTAAGGTTCCCTTTGGATATATGCCCAGGAGTGGGATTGTTGACCCTCCTTTTTAATCTCTCTCATTTTCCAAACAGAGTGTCTTCTTTTATTTTCCAATTTTTAAAAGTGGTGGTAAAAATATATCTATATTTAACATAAAAATTACTGTTTTTAGTGTACAGTTCAGTGGCATTAAGTACATTCATAATGCCATGCGACCATCACTACCATCCATCTACACAACTTTTTCATCATTCTAAATAGAAACTCTGTACCCATTAAACATTAACTCCCTGTTCACCCCTGCACCCATCCCTGGGAACCTCTTATCTCCTTTCTGTCTCTATGCATTCACTTAATAGAATTTTTCACAGACTGAAGGTTTGTGACCACCCTGCCTCGAGCAAGTCTGTTAGTGCCATTTTTCCAACAGCATTTGCTTACTTCTTGTCTCTGGGTCACATTTTGGTAATTCTCATAATATTTCAAAGTTTTTCATCATTATTGTATTTGTTACGGTGATCTGTGATCCGTGATCTTTGATGTTACTACTGCACAAAGAATCATGACTTGCTGAAGTCTCCGATGATGGTTAGCATTTATTTTTAAGCAATAAAGTATTTTTAATTAAGGTGTGTACTTTGGGTTTTTTAGACACAATGCTGTTGCACACTTAGTGGACGACAGGATAATGTAAACATAACCTTTTATGTACTGGGAAACCAGAAAATACATGTGACTCGCTTTCTTGTGACACTTGCTTTGATACTGGCTTTACTGCAGCCCCAGCAAACTGATACATTATCCTTTGTTTCACTCAGCATAAGGTGTTCAGGGTTTATCCGTGTTCAGGGTTTATCCGTGTTGTGGCCCGTGGTAGAAGTTCATTTTTCTGTGATGGCTGAATAATATCCCCTTGTATGGGGAGGCCACATTTGGTTTATCCATTCATCTGCTGATGGGCCCCTGGGCTGTTTTCACCTTTTGGCTGTTGTGCATCATCTCGGCTGTGACCACGGATGTACAAGGATCTGTCTGAGCCAAACAGGGCGTCTTTAAATCAAATGCAGTTAACCCTTTAAGCAGTGCTGGGCTCACTCTTCCCTGTCTGCCTGGTTTGTGTTACTGTGGTTCCCCTGACGTCTGTCTGTTCTCCACGCCCTGCCCCCCAGTGCTCCACCCTCTGCCCCAATGTGCTGATTCCTCTCCTCCCCAGATGGAGGTCACCTGATGGATGGGAGAAGCCACGGGTTTGTGAGGCAGGCAGATCTAGGTTCCAACCCAGCAGCTCTGTTCCTAGTTGGTAATGTTGAAGATATCCCTTCAGCCCTGAGCCTCGGGCTCCACTGTGAGATGGTGACATCCTGCCTCTCGTCCGTGCGAAGTCTCTGAGAGCAGATGCTCCGCTGGCTTCGAAGTCCGTTTCTCTCTTGTGACTGAGCGCTGCCTCCTCCCTCACAGGGAGCTCCCCCAGCCCTGAACATGGATTGGAAGATTCAGTGTCAGTGTGTCAGTCAGGGTCTCTCAAGAAACAGAGCCAGTGGGATGTGTATTCGCAGAGGGAGGTTGTGCAGAAAGTCGGAAATCCACTGTTGGGAGGCCGGCAGTCTGGAAAGTCAGGCAAGTCGATGTTGCAGTCTGTAGTCTGAAGGCAGAATTCCTTCCTGCTTGGGGAACCTCAGTGTTTTCTCTTAAGGCCTTCAGCTGATTGGACGAGGCCCACCCTCACTAGGGAGGGTGATCTGCTTGACTCAGAGGCTACAGGTTTAAATATTCAGCATGTCTAAAAAGCACCCGCACAGCAACATCTACACCAAACAACTGCGCTCCACGTCCTAGTCAAGTTGTTACATAAAATTAACCGTTGCATTTGATAACTTGTCAGTTCTCTTCAGACTGATCTATAGATTCATCATAATCCCAATTAAAATCCAAGAAGGCTTTTTAAAAAACAATTGACAGGCTGATTCCAAAATTCATGTGCAAGTGTAAAGAAACTAGAACAGTCAAAACAACTTAATAAAAGATCAAAGTTGGAGGATTCACACTACCTGTTTTCAAGATTTATTAGGAAGCCATGGTGATCAAGGCAGCGAGGTACTAGTCAGGGGTTAGACATGTCATAGATCAGCGGAGCAGAATATAGTCCAGATATAGTTATGCATTTATATGGTCAACTGATTTTCAAAAAAAGGTGCAAAGGCAATACAGTGGTGATAGGATGGTCTTTTTAACAAATTGTGGTGGAACAACTGGATATCCATTTGTAAAAATCTAAATTTTGGTCTACATCTTGCAACATATTGAGAGAGATTAGCAGAAAATGAATCATAGATCTAAGTGTAAAACCTGAAACGATCACACTTCTAGAAGAAAACAGGAAACAATCTTTGTGACCTTAGGTTAGGCAGAGTTCTTAAGTCTGACACCAAAAGCATAATTCATAAAGGAACAAATTGATAAATGAGACTTGATAAAAATGAAGAGTCTGCTCTTTGAAAGACAGTTATTGTGAATGAAAGACAAAGCACAGCCTGGGAGGAAATATTTACGAATGATGTGTCTGATTAAGGGCTGGTTGCCAGCATGTATAAAGAACCCTCAAAACACAGTAAAAGAAAACAATCCATAAAAAATGGGCAAAAGGTTTGAACAGGCACTGCATCAAAGACCCACCAAAGAAGTGAATGACAGATACACGCTTGGGAACATGTTGAATATCGTTAGTCGTTAGGAAAATGCAAAATAAAACTGCAGGATGTAACACTTGTAAGAATGACTAAAATTTTAAAGACTGACCATACCAATCGTTGGCAAGGCTGTAGAGGAACTGGTGGTGGGAATGTAAAGTGGTACAGTCATCTTAGGAAAAAGTTAAACAGATGCTTACCATGTGACCCAGCCATTCTGCCCTTAGGTATTTACCCAAGAGAAATGAAAGGGTGTGTCGTAATGAATTCTATACAAATTTTCAAAGCAGCTTTATTAGTAACAGTCAAAACTCGGAAACAACCCAAAAGTCTCTCGTAGGTGAGTAGATGACAAACTGTTGCCCGGCCAGGCAGCGGGATACCACTCAGAGTCAGAAGGCGTGGCCTCCCCGTCCCCGCCGCTATGGGGATGAATCTCAGCACAGTTACACCGAGTGAAAGCAGCCAGATAAAAAAGCACATGTGGTATGATTGCATTTATATCAAAATCTAGGAAATGCGAACTCATGTCTAGTGACAGAAAGCAGATCAGTGGATGCCTAGGGAGGGGCAGGAGGGAGGGATTATCAAGAGACATGAGGAAAATTTGGGAGTGAGGAATCTGTTCACTGTTTTGGTTATGGTTACATATTGAACTGTGCACTTTGAATATGCTGTTTGCTGGGTGTCGGTGGTGCCTCAGTGAAGCCATTTTAAATGGAAATCACATAGAAGACCTGAGCTTCGGGGAGGGGCTGAGACGAGTGTCAGTGTCTGTCAAAGAGGACCTCTCTTGCTCTGTCCTACAACTTCTGCATTCACAAAACCGAGGCACGTGAAGGTCTGAAGGTCACTGTCTCACCCAGACTTTGGTTCAAGTTCCAGCAGATGCTGGGAAGACCTGGTGCCCGACTCAGACCTGACCCAAAAGACGCCCCAGTTCTTCTCTGCTACCTCCACCCTGTGACCCGGTCACATGGCCCCAGGGCCGCTGGGGGAGAGAATCCAGGCGGGGCCCTGCCTTCTGGGGCCTGACAGCTGGCGCAGCAGTGGCAGAGCGCGCCTCCTCGTGGCT